ACTATAAATCAAGTGTGACACACATGACTAAATTAATATTTGAATAAGGCTAAATATGGGTAATAATATGAATTAAATAATATTTGATATGATTTTCATAGAAACACTTGTAGAAGGAAAAATTCCAGTTAAAGCATTAATAGATACATCATCAAAGTTTAATACTATTAGCAAGAGCTTATTTGATAGGCTTGGAATGGATCATGAAATAAGACCAACTTGTGATCCAATTAAAAACCTCTATAAAGATGCAATAGGTGAAATAAATTGCTTAGATTTACAATTCCAATATAAAGAAACATACCATAGCTTGGATAACACTGATGTAATAAACTTTGAGATTTGCAAGAATCTAATATTCAATCTGGTATTGGGTCAGGGTTGGTTATGAGTGTATGAAGTAAAGATGCATTTTAATCCAAATGCTAAAATTGTAATAGATAGTATGAGCATCCCATTAATTGATGAAGAATTTAACAAAGCCAGCTCTAGTAAAAATAACTTATCTATTGTAAAGCAATGGAACTTTGTCCCTAAATCAACAGAATCTAAACCTGGTCTAGCTCAAGAGGAGATTATAAATATAATTAACAAAATTCTCTCAAATAATAGAGATGAACCCAAAGGGTCATTACTTTGTAATAATAAGCAATGAAAGAAACATCATGGAATATTTCACAATAAATCTGAGACAGAGACTGATTCATCCAGCTCTGATTCAGAATTCACAGATTCAGACTGGTATGATCTTGACCCAATAAAACTCCAAAAGAATCGTATTCATGTTAAAAAGAAAAAGGTTATTTCTCCTATCTGAAAACATCATAAAAATAAGCATACCAACTGTGTTCGCATTCCAGAGTATGATCTATCTAATCAACTATAATAACTGGTACGAGTGAAAGGTCTTTAAATCATTTTTCGATGTGGACTAAAACCTTTCTAGATAATATTTTTGATAGAGATATCTCTATCAATACTTTCTCAACATCTTTTTCAGTATACTTTGATAACCATAATATATGAATTAATTTCTCACTCTTATAGTTATGTCTATGATGAAGTAAAAAATGATACTCATCCATTACAATATTGATCATCTCCTCCTGATATGCTATTAATTCTTGAAAAAGTTATCTATCTTCTTCTGTAATTGGGAGATGAATCTCTTCAGGCTCAAAGCCTATATATTGGGATAATTTATCACATAATTTATAAGACATTTTTCCATTACTATAATACGTAATAAAAATATATTTAATTTATTTCACTATGTCATGTTATAATGAGCCTCAGGGAAGTAATGTCATGTGTTTTAAATTCACAAATCAGAGATCAACATAGAAGTTCATCAAATATGCTAATAAAAAGCCCCGATAGATCATAATCTCATATATTTATATGGAAATCTTTATTTAACCTATGATAATTAATGATATATTTACATTAAGAATCATAATAAATTTCTATTGCTTGATACAAATATTAAGTAACTATAAATTTCGAATTTAAATTTATCATGAAAATATTATTTCCTATATTGTGCTGGTAAGCCTCTTCTTGTGGGTTCCAAATCTATTAATTAAGAGATAAATAAACAATATATATAAATATAAAATAATCTTACACATCTATAATATATACTTACCAAGATGACTCTACCGATGATTTTTTAATCTTGAGAAATTCCGGTGAGCTAATTTAGGAGGGGAGCATTTCTGCAGTTTCTTGTCATATTTTATAACACCATCATCGATTGAGTAAGTGCCATCTAGAATCTCCAGCATATCTAAATCCTTATCATTAAAAAGAGAAGCAAATTTTCATTTTTGCTTTATAATGATATCATGTATATAGAAGATAATACTATGCCTTGACCCAGCCATTATTAGAAGATTCTCATGAATTAAGAGATGTGACCAAAAAGTGATTGTCTATCCTTGCTTCATCATAACTGCCAACTTTAGTTCAGGAAATGTTAGATGTCCACCCTCAAACATTCTGAGAGGACATACAACACAGAATATATTACGATGGTCTTTCAGATCTTGATAAAATTGACATATGCTGTTAAAGTTAATACTAATTATGGGAAAGACTCCAAAAGATTTAGGAACATTGGAACTGAGATCAAGTTTTTTCATTTTGATGTATAATGCCAGATATACGTTATTAAGATAATTGTTCACTGTGAAGGAAAGTGACTGAAGTCCTTGGATCAAATCTTGAACATACTTATGATGCTCCTGAGAATGTGTAGAAGCAGTATTCGAGATAATATAAGGTAGATTGTTATTATCAGTAAAATAACTGAAATGTTCTATTAAATCTTTGATAAATTGGTTAGATCGATAAGAAGGTTTACTAAGATTATGTTTATAATACTGATCTATCACTCGTGCAGTTCTTATGATCAGGTAATTGTCAAGGTCAAGGTTGAAGAAATCTATCATCATTTCACAAATTAATATAGAGTTGCAGAAAGATATTTTGGATGAAGAAGCCTCCGGTTAGATGGATTACATAATAATGAGAATGGAAGATCTTTTGTGTATTACCGAGGGAAAACCACAAAATATCAAGATAGAATATCTACAGAATATTAAATAACTTGAAAGTTCATTTCATATGAATAAAAAGAAGCGGATGGCTGATGAGGCATTCAAGAGTGAGGATTATGATTATCTATATGAGATTGTATCAACAGGTGTAGATTGGTATTTTATCATGTTCACTTCTGAAAGTATTTTTTGTACAAGCAATAGTGAATATCAGATAAATCTCATGAAAAAGGCACTTAAGGGGAATCAGGAAAATCTGAGGGAGGATATAAAACAGGTAATCAGTATAGTTGTAGGATTATTAAAAGATAGGATAACCGTATGCAATGAATCTGAAAGCAAGAGATGACACGTGCAAGAAAAGATTAGCAAAAAATAATTGATGGTAGATAGTTTTTCTGCTTCACATGTATTTTATATTGTATCAAATAAAAATATTTTTTTCTTGCCGATCACTTCGTGAACTTGGTTCACAAATCATGAAATTTTTTTTTCTTGGCAAAAGTAATTGGCATTACAATTTGTAATATGCACGTGATCTTTATACCTTGTGATGGCACATATCACTTCTTTGGATGTGAGGCTGAGAGGAATATTATGAAAAACAAAATATAAAGGCAAGAAGTATTTATTTTTATATTTCTGTTGATTTCTTGCAATAGATCTAAAATATTATTATCTTGGGATATTTGAGCAGGAATTGGCTAATCTTCTCACTAATAAAGCTTTCAACAACAGATATAGGAAATAAAATATTTGTGTCAAAATTTGTTAACTTCGGAAATTAAAAATCATATTAATAAAGCTTTGGTGTATCAATTTCCTGTTGCAAAATACTTCCGAATATTATACTATCAATATATGAAATATTGCTTGAAAAAGGTTTATATAACCAAATTCGAATCTATATCCACATTATGACATAACAGGATAAATTATAAGAAAATAGAAAAATAAATTCATGCAGGATCCTGTATTCCCCTACCATGGCCCCTACCATGATCTCTCTCCCTACTGTTCACTTTCTTTCTTTTTTCCAATATTTTTGACAGAAATTCTGCAAATGTCACAGCTTTTCGCCGTTCTGGTATGAATCCAGTTGCATACTTAGATTTGGACTTCACTATGTTTTCTTGTCCTTCCTTTCTAAACTCCATAAACCTTTTGATCTTTTCAACAAGATTGTATTGTAAACATAAAAGTGTTCTAATGAGTCTAGGTACATGATTTAGATCGATATCAGAAGTTGGAATAGTAAGGACTGGGATTGTAAATGGCGCAAAAAGGTATAAATCAGGACCAATAAATATTAACTGACCAATCTCAATTTTATTAGCTATAAACAAAAACAAGAATATATTAGATCAAAAACACTTGCAGGTTCAAAATTATTGAAAAAAATTACCAAATACTTGGGCTAAGAAAATCTTCAGTATTTCACATACTTTCCATTTTGGTAACTCAGTACTCAACATAAATTTATTAAGACCAAAGACTCCCTCATTCAATAATTTACACCTATCTTCACTAATCTTGTCTGGATCTGGGTTATTAGATCCTTCCGACACTTCAAGCAAAATAATGGAATTTGTTTGGGTCACTCAAAAAGCTCTAATATATCATCAGCTTTATAGCCATTATCTTGAACATCAATCTTTGTAGATATGTCTCTTTCACATGAAAAATACTGCATCAAGTCAATAAAATAAAAAGTGATAAAAAAAATGTATGCTAATACATGGGCCATCCATATCTGCTCAGGAATTTTATTCATGGCACCATTCATTTTTGTGATGATGTCAAAATGATTGGAGATATTCTTGACAATAAATAAATCTGGCATTTTGGGTTGATCATAGTTCACTGACATAGGAAAGAAGTTAGATAAATAGTGATATTTTTCAGATACACTGCCCAATTGATATATTATTTTCTCCATTTCACTGTTTTTTTCTATAGTCTTGTAATCATCTTTATTCACAAGATAACTATCAACTGCTTCGTCTCCCTTCGATTAAGCAGATACAATATTATCAAAAAATGCTAAATACTCATGCATCTTTTCACTTATGAATTTTTCTTCATCTTCTAATATTAACCTTTCATATAACGAATCCAATTCATTCTCATCCAAAACACTATATATCTGTTTCTATGTGTCTTCATCTTCTAAATCGAGTACGTAAAATTTTAACTCAGAATCTCAAGTTTTCCAGATAGTTTTAAGTTTATTATAGTATGATGAAAAAGTTACTTTTTCGAAAATATCAGAAGCATCAGTCACTAAATTCATCAAATCTTCATTCGTAACATCAAGTTCTTCTTCTTGCGTAACATGTGCACATTTTTTCGGTAGAAAAGGTGTAGTAGGTTTTTGAACTATCTCTCTCAGTTTCAACATAACATTTTCACATACTTCCTCAAAAACTTCCAACACATCATCTTTTACTCTTCTGGCAAACTCTTCTTTCTGGAGATATCTTCGAGCTTTTTTAACATTTTCGAAAAAGGTATTTTTTTGATTGGAGCCCTTTACAAACTTGTTTAAATCTTGGCAGTAATTATAAACTCCAATTAGCGTGATTGCTTGTTCTGATATTAATTTAAGGCTTGTGATATAAGCCATGAACACGTCATTTGATTTATTAAGAAGATCTGGTATAGAGCACAAAAATTCAGCTATCTTATTGTACCATTTTACTGAAAGATCAACAAAATGAGTTGCAATTTCTTTAGGAAGATTTTTATTGAAAGGAAGGCACCAATCTGCCAACTCCGGAGGATATGAAGATTATGGCATTCTCTGTTTATAGTAAAGGGTAAATTATTTCTTTGGTTAATTTTAAAAATACCAGTGCTAAATTGTGATTTGATACGCGTTCTTGATATTGTATGACCGTTCACGTGATTTTTACAACGCGATCTCATTAAATATCACGTGGCATAGATTTCTTTCGTATCTGATGCTCAGCTAAAATCGGGAGCGGAATGACCTGCTCTTAACACTGGCCTAGCCCTCACAAGTGTAGCGGAATGACCTGCTTCATAAATACTTCTAAATGAGGTTGATGGCGGAATTACCTGCCGAGTCTGTGAACGATTTTGTTTGAGTTACCGTCCGCGCCGATGGAAGTTGTTAGATCAGGAACGGAATGACCTGTTCTTAACATAGACCTAGCCCTCACAAGCGTAGCGGAATGACCTGCCACACAAATACTTGTAAATGAGGTTGATGGCGGAATTACCTGCTGAGTCTATGCATGATTTGCTCTTCTTTTTGGGGCCGGACACAAACTAATAATAAAATAAACCATGCTCTAATCTGTATGACTAGTGTGCCTTAGGTAATATTTTTTTATGCAAAGATATGAGACAAAAAACATATACATAATTAAAAACCAGAAGAGAACCTTTATTTTCAATGATATAGTGGTTATTTCAAGTGAGAAACATCTCGAACCCTAGGTAATTCCTTCCCGCTATATCCAATTCTAGTTTTTTTTTGAGAACGTCTATCCATGTCATACCGCAATATGAAGCACGAATATTCCCGACGAGACATCATGCAATTTTAAAAGATACGAACATTTTTTTGGTTGTGCTGACTGATTGTGCATTTGCAGTTCTGCTAATAGATAATTTTTCATTTAGGATCTCAAGGAACATATTGACTAATTAACATTACGGAAGGCAAAAAACATAAATTATCGGCGGGTTCACTAAGGTCAATATTGTTAATTTATTTCTGACTCTGCATGTTTTATTCATAACTGACAACCTTTTATTCTATCCAAAATACCGATGTTGGGGACAAATGAAATCGGATTAGAATTAATGTCGTGTTAGCATATAGATAGCTTAGAGCCTTATATGAGCGAAACTTTATTTAACTTTATAAACAAGTTTATGTATTACCGAATCTTGTAATTTATTCTTTTATATCAATAAATCAATAATTCCGATGAGGATATCACCTCGTTTTTTATCTATGCTAACAAACTTTTGAATTATTCCATTGCATATAAAAAATTATCATCGAACATGCAATCCAACGATTCATTAAGGGAATTAAATGCCAAGCTCTTGACTGAGATTGCCAAACTGAGGAAAGAGAATACTGAAATTCCTGAACTTAGAGAGAAGCTACTAAGATTTGCTGAGATTGAGGCTGAGAATGCGAGGTTGAAGCAAATTATTGAGGAAAATGTAAAGCGTGATGTTAGAGTCGAGGAATTAGAGCAAAAGAATAAAGAGCTTGAGACCAGACTCGCTATATTAGAACAGGGAGAAAAAGGTATTTTTACAAAAGATGTTCCGCGATCTCCATTAAATTCTAATGATACTCCGGCATCTAATATAACTGATAATACTTCAAATTCTAATATTACTCCCGAACGAATAGAAAATAGCTCTGATATAACATCTGATTCTGATACATACCAGAAAAAGAATAGCCGATCCTCCACGTCTTCTATTACTATAAAAACTGCATCATCGGAAGAGAAGAAAATTAATGATTTCCTGGATAGCATACATAAAGAAACGATTAGTGAGAAAATAAGAGAAAAGAACCGGGAAAAGAATCTTAGATCTCAAGACAAAGTACAGAAAATCATGTCAAAAATTTCGGAAAACTCAAGTTCTATTAATAATGATAATATAGATAGGGATGTGACAACTACTATCCAGGATGAAGCGCCCAGCAATACTAACTTTACGCTTTTATATGAAAAACTTTGTGATGCTATAATTCTTGCTGATCGTAAAACCCAAGAAGCTATCGTGTGTTATTGCCTATTTGGAAAGGTACTCATTCAAAGACGTAATGAAATAGCATCGGAAAGGCAAGTTGATCCAGAATCCAATACTGTTAGTAGAATTTAAATAAAGAAGTAAAAGCATAGTTACCCGCAGACACTTCTGATAGCCTTTTACGTAAGAGAATCGAAAAAGCAAAGAAGCTTTATAAACTTTTTGATGCAATAGGTATGGATAAAATTTATCGCGTTCATTCCTTTTCTGCTGACAGTATATCTAAATTAACAAAAAAAGAAATTCAGTATATTATAGATAATGTATCCTTTGATTATAGCATTGATGTGAGCTTGCCTCTGGCTGAGTTACGGGATGATGAGAAAAGTTCTGTAACCCAACTTTGTGAACCGAGTTCACGAAGTGATCGGCAAAATTCTTGTGAGAAGGAAAATAAAAATTCAGAAACATTTGCTTCCTCTATCCCATTGTCTAATACGTCTAATTCGAAAGATATGATAAGTGAGGATAACAAATCTTTACCAGTGGAAGAGGTAAACATATCTACTGGAGTAATTTCAAAGGATAAACCAGAAACCGTAAATGAGGATAATAATATAAGCGAGAAAGTCGAATCTTTACTGGAGGAAGAGGTAGATGAACCCGATGATTCTTTAGATTCTAGCTCGGAACCCTCTGATGATGATGGATTCTGTGGATTTTCTGACGATGATGACGAAGGTTATTATTATGATTTAAATACCGGCAAAACTTATACAAAATCGGACCGTTCAATCTACGCATATTAATGATTTTTAATATAATCCCGCTTCCTCGCAATAAATACTCAAAGTCAGATGTTTCGTTATATACTGTATGGGATAACTATATAATCTTTTTTCGAATATATGAGAAAAAAGGAATTCCGGATAAAAATGTTGTGCCACGTGATGATGATATAACTCGACCGTGACTGAGTAGACATGGTCTCAAAGTTTGGCACTTTTTTGATAATTAAATAATAAATAAAGTCTACCCATATTTGGGCTTTGTATTTTTTAACCTCAATCTACGTTCGGTAATTAATGCGTATAACATATCTTTCACAGAAAGTGCATCGTGTATTACATATGGCAATCATATAAATCGTTATTGGTATATTTTCAATCGTAATATAAATACGTACCTACCTGATAGTCGTTCATTTACTTTTTCCACGTAAAAGTAGTATAATTAACTGAATACGTATGCCTCGGATTTGCATATCTCGGATTTGCATATCTCGGATTTGTCTATCTCGGACCGGGTGATCTCAAATGGTGAATGTCATACATCCATATGGTTGGAAAATTAAATCATATGCTTATAATATACCCGAAATAGACCCCACATACCCGAAATAGATTTCATACCCAAATGGATCTCATATACCCGAAATAGATTTTCATTCACGGAGGTGGGTAATATCTACACAATTGATTTAAGTGTCTTGACACTAGCTCTGCTATATAAATACCAATGCTTGAACTCGAGAGACTTTACTGTTTCATACTTTCTTCTACTACATCACAAAAATATTACAAATACTTTGGATTTATCCTCTCCCAACACATATATACAAAATATACTATTTGGCATAAGCAAACACGAAAATATAGTTCAAAAACTCATTCTGTCAATATACATGAGTTACAGACTTGTTTCTAAAGAGTCTGATGATTTGGACTATACTCCATTCTCTACTTCCTTTGATAATAGCTATCTAGAGAATCGCATCAGTAATATAACTGCAGAAACTTTTCATAGTTCTAAAGATATATGCCCCATATTTTTCGGTATGAAATCAAATCCAATGAAATCTATACTATGTGTAACCATATCCAGCTTAACTATATCTATAATATTATGCAGTTTTATAGGTTGTACATAAAAACATTCAAAATATCAATATGTAAAAAATAATCTTGAGTTAGATCTTGGTCCAAGAACCCAATTGCACTAAAATTGAATCTGGTTTTAATCATATATATCAAACCAAATCTAATAGGTCTAAATCCCTAAATTTGATATAATCTCATAATCCCCAAAAACATTAACAATAACTTAATCATTAAATATGGTCTATACAGATAAATACCCAGTTTTGAGCGATACTGAATGGAGAGATAATTGTCAATTTCCAGTAATCCATAAGGGTGAAACTCTATCTGATTAGATGAGTCGAATTTAGAACCAGTTAATGCATTATAAGAATAATAATCATTTGACTGATGATAAAAAGCAATATCTTATCACCAGAAAGATGAAATATTTATGGGAAGGTGATCTTGGTCATTCTGTAGGTATAAGTATAGCAATATGTTATTCATGTAACAAGCTAGTTTATTCTAAAATAGAAAGTGGTTATGAGTATGAGTTTCATCATTTTATGAATAAACATTGGATCACAAATTGCACAAAAAATACTTATCGTGATATTAGTTATAAAGACTATATGGAACTTAAAAAGTAGATCTGAAGTTAGTAACTACTTCGAAAAAGAAGTGATTCATCATTATGAATTGTGGATGCAAAATGCTATTAGAAAAGTTAAATATGCAAGAGAAGTTGTGAAAAAAATTCGAGCTATAAATATCATATCACAGAAATGGCTTAAATATATGTATCACCCTGATGGCCTTTGCGTTTTAGAATTAGCATTATATTACCAATTATTATGGACGGTTTGAGAAGAAATACGTCAAATTAATAATGCATAATACACATATCTATTTATTTGATTAATATATCTATTATTTATATAACTTATTCATATATATATATCTTTAAAATAAAATCATCTGAGATATTCCTGAGGGCTGGTACTTTAGACTTTTATTCATTACTATTTCATGATAATTAATAGCTATTTTTTTTCTCGATATATGTTTCATAATTTTCATGAAAGATTCTAATTTTTTATGCATTATAAAATACAATATTAGTTTCTCGATACTATATATCAATTATAAAGTAACGACTCAAAGAGCCATGAAATTCAATAAAGTATATTCAAATCTGATTTGTCAATTATCTCCCTTGATAGCACATGAAGTCTGGATGCAACTAATTTCTCAGAAGCGAAATCCAATGACAGAGGATGAGGCTAGTGAGATGAATCCATTAGTCAAGTCATTTTTAAGATATGAGGTAAATAGATATCAAAAAAAGTTAAAGCACCAGAGATGAAATTGGCCATTACTTAAAGATTTATCATATAATATGTGTCTTGACACTAGCTCTGCTATAGACATGGTTAACCAAGAAATACAAACTTCAGATACTAATATCTGTACATGTGATCAGACACATAAATGCCCTTACTTTGCAAGTGAGAAGAAGATCAATCATCGGGTTAAGAAAGAGGTCAATGTTTTATGTCAGCGATTACTGGAACATAATGAAAAAACTTTTGGTAAATTTATGTGAGAAATTACTATAGAGCATGAGGAGCGAGTTAAAATCAATAAGAAATTGTGATCTGAGGTTGAAGAAAAAAAGATAGAATTACAAGAGGCAGAAAAATTCCTAAAATATCTGAAATCACGCTCTACCCATTAGAAAGATCAATCACTTGATCCCAATCAAGACATACTCTATGTGAATACTTAGGAGGTACACTTAAATTGAAGACAATAAATTTTTATTTGCATAAATGCTTATTAACAATTTTATAGATACTGTGCTAATCATTAACATATAAATAAAGTATTCTGCTTAGCTCATCTGAAATGCAAGAGCCATTAAACAGTATAACATATTTTAAATTTTTTCTTATTAGTTTTGGACAGTCAAAATAGCTTTGTGATATATACATCGAAGAAATATTAGAATAGCATCCCTCAGTAAAATAAGATATAATCTTTTCTTGAATTTTCTTTGGTTTGGTACATACATTCTCAAATATAGCTATAGTACCTCTTTCTGGAGAAAATGAATCCAGCTTTGGAATTTTATCAGGCTTCATAATCCAAAATGTAATATCTTCATGGTGTGATTCTGGACCATTTGCGATTATTTGATATACTAATTTAAGGTACATATATTTGGGTTTCTTGAGATAGTGTCCAATAAGTATAATATCATCATACTTAATATCTCGGCTTCCTCCTTTTTTCCCATTAAACATCCAAAAGAGTTTATTTCTAAGTAAAAGATTAATTACTTCAGTAGTTTTGCCTGAGTTAGTTTAACCGCAGATTAAGCATGTGAAGGGCCATTGAGGAATAGAGTTTTTTGAATTATATTTTTTTAGATTTTTATATTCATCGATATGATATGCAAACCTCTCAACCGGTTCAAGCTTTTTGATTTTCATCTTGATCAAGCTAAGTTACTAATTATTATACCTGAAAAATAATAATCTATATTGCCATATACATATATTTACAGGATTTTTTATTCTGATAAATCATAGATTCGAACTTGTATTACACCATCTGTATCTGACTCACTATTTGTATCTGAATATTAACCAAAAATATTGAAAGTGAGATTTTTATTCTGTAAGGTTATAATTGCATTCATGCTGATTTCATCACAATCAGCAATAACAAGCTTTTGAAGATTACATAAATTTGCTAATGCAGACATAGATTTATCAGTGATATCACATCCTTCAAGATAAAGCTGTTCAAGTTTTGGGCATGATTGCGCTATTACACAAATAGATTCATCAGATATATGACATCAAGATATATTGAGATATTGAAGTTTAGGACACAAGTCTGCAATTATTCTCATGGATGTATCAAAAATAGCTATATTATTCATAACGAATTCACCTTCTTCATCAGCAAAAGAAAAACTAACCATATTTGGATATGAAGTAGCTATAGCGTAAATATCATCATCTGTTATCTTCTCACAATTACTCAGGTGAGGTTTGGGCATAAGTGAGCGATTTCTTTTAATGATACATCAGTAATACCCAAACCATCTATATTAATATACTCTATTTTTTTACATGACTTAGCAATTTCAATTACTGAGATATCTGAAATATTATTACTATATCCCAAATAAAGATAAGTTAAATTTGGACATAATGATGTGATCCCACAAATTATTTTATCCTTGATATGATGACATTTACAGGTATTTATTGTATTATTGTGGAATTTAAGATATATTAAGTTCGGGAATACAATTTTTCTAATCATTTCACTAGAAAATACATGACAGTTACTTATAGTTAAGTGACGTAGGTTTGGATACAGTTCTCTAATCCGATATAAGATTTTACTAGAGACTTTACATCTAGAAATATAAAGTTTAGTTAATTTTGAAATATAGAGAGATTTTTATGTATGTACTACCTTTTTGAATTTATCCCATCAGAAACATGATTTTTTTAGATCACTGGTAAATTCAGCCTTTCTCCATAATATTGGAGCAGAGTATAAATACTACAACCAGTTAATAAATAAAGTTGGGTATAGTACTTCATCTATAATGAGATATGAGAAAATTTTGGTTAGTATTTCTGGTATGTTTAATGGATATAGTTTATTATATGGTATTACTACTTATCTTTATAGATTTATTTATTATATAAAAAGAAAATTATATCAAATGTATTGGTAAAACTAACTCATCTAAGAATCAAAAGTCGGTAAATACCTCTTTTTTTATAATGTACGCTTGATGTAGGGAAATAAATCTGCATCATATGGTATAATAATTAATATAATATCTTCTCGAGCACATATCTTCTGTTTTTTTCTGTCTTGCTGTTTTTGTTCTTCCAAATCAATCCTTTCTCGCTTGTAGAACATTAAATTAAGGGTAAAATGTTAGATACCCTGGAATTCCCATGCTAATTTTAGCTCTTCGTTATATTCATCTAATTGTATTCTATTCAAAAATGACAGTTTACAAGATGGAAATTTCTTACCTAACAGATCCTCAAAAATATATCTACAGCATCTCTTAGTGATATGATGGCATAAGAAATACCATTCAAATTTCATAGCTATTAATGGATATGGATACTTGAATTGATATTTACCATTTTCACATGACCAAAGATATATATTCTGATCATTAATTTAATCAGTTCTTGCTAAAATACTTCCACCACATTTTCTGGCATATTGTTACATACTGTCAAATTCATTATTGGAAATACGAATAAAATATATTGATCTAGAGAGATGATATTTTTGTATAAATTCGTCAGGTGGATACTCTACTTCTTCAGAATTTTCAATTACTTGAAGTTCTTCTCACTTGAATGATCGATGTGGATTGTGACCCATCAAATAAGCTATAGATTCAATAGACCCATTCTCAAGATAATATAAGACTGGCTGTGATGAATTCTTACCTACAATGACTTTCTCAATCTTATATAAACGTAATGAGAAGTATGAATCAGTTTTTCTATGTATGTATCCTCCTTCTAGCTTACCTGGTTTTAATAAATATCTTACAGTCATTCCTTTTTGTAATCATAGTTCATCTTTCCCAATAGGTCTTTTAGGTTTGATAGTTACTTTGGGAATCACTTTCTGCAATATTATTGCATATGATGGAGACATACCTATTAATCACATTTTATTATTATTCATATAGTTGATAATTTTCTGAAGTATCTTATTTCATAATTTTGAACATTCATCTTCTCTGAGTTTGCTCTCTATGGCATATTGAATTTTATATATATATCTTGCCAAATCCTGCTTGAATTTTTTAACCAATGCTAAACTCTCGAAACTGTAAAGATCAAAAATTCTTATAGAAATATTATAACATTCTATCTCTCAAGAAAATGATTCTTTGAACTCCCCTGCACCATCCACCATCAACAATGTGGGCCATGTGAGAGAATTTTTGGGATCATTATATATTTTTTTGATCGCATTCCAAACTTTTAAAC